TGATTGAATTAAGGACTTATTCTGTTATACCTTTTCAATCGTTTTAACTTAAAATTCCATTATTCTCCATTGAAAGAACCACCAATTGTAAAACCATACAAACGATAAACCACCGGAGGACACAAAGTAAACCGATGGCCAAGGCCTTGTTACATTGTCTTTCAATCCCCGAATAATGCCTTCAAGTAGATAACATTTACCATCGATAAGATGGCTATGGATTCCGTATCGATGAATCTTGATTTCTCCATCCATAAGTCATACACCCAACACACAAGTATATTGACCATCAATTATCAGTGTCTCACCTATAGTGGATCAAAGTGCATAAGTCATGGATGCGAACTCAAGTATCCATTTCAAGATTCAGATTAATGAAGGATGATAATCAAAGCGTCATTGATTCTTATAAGCGAAATTATTAAACTGAATCAATTAACACTTTAGGTCCAGTCCAATGTCATACCTCAATACTGGTATACATCAAGGTTTCTACTTGGAACCGATCCGATGGTCAAGACAAACCATCCCTCCAAGGGAGTAGACAACCCTTACAATCTTAACATGAATAAGATCCCCAAATCTTATTCCATCGATTGCGAACCTTTTATTTAGACTGTTATCGAATTACCATGTCTTCTATGTATACCCCGTATACAACGGTAATCCGATATGTTACCAACAGCCTAGAAGAATTTATGTTTGCTCAATTAATCATACATTCAACAAATGAAAGTAAATAGGACACCACTTATTAAACATGAATAACCTCTTTTATTTATATCAAAATGTCAATTTACAGAAAATCCTTAGAATCAATTTTCTATCCTTAGGGCACATATAGATCCCAACAAGTAAAAGGAGAAACAAAGAGAAAAGAGAAAAGATCTTGATGTTATACTTAGATGCATGAATTTTTGTAACCAAAACCAAGATCACTTTCCTTATGAGGAACTCACTTGTGCTACATGCACGATATATCCCCCCCATATCATGTTGCCAACAATCTCTATTGCGAGAAAGCACCACTTATCCATGGTAGGATCTCAGCCCCCTCCTCGACGAGATTGTCGTTTGTGCTCAACCCCCTCTAGCAAGATCATCGTCTTTACCTCAAAATCTCCACCAATGCCAGTATCACCTCCCTCATCCATTCTTCGAAGGATCTCCCTTCCTTCCTATAATGATGGCAGCCACCTTTGTTATCTACCACCCGATGATGCAAGCTCTGTTAGCGTTTATGCTCTTAGAAATAAATGTAATAATGTTTTTGAGACATTTTGACTATTAATAAAAATTTATTTATTTCATATATCTATGTATTGTCCTCTTTATGTTCATATTAGTTGAATATATGATAAGTAAACTAGAAGTCTTAGATTGTTATTCTAAGTCTTTAGATCACGCATGCAATGAGAAGAACATGGAAAAGATATGAATATAAAGATGACAGTCTAAAGAATGTAATATGCAATCAGGAGAATAAAGTTTGGCGTTTTATTCATGTTAAGATTGTTATGTTGTCTATTTCCTAATGGAGATGACTTGTCTTAGTCGTCGGAGGTAGGACTCTGTGGATAGAGACATTGATATAGTTCCTAGTGGTGAAATCTATATTGGATCTGACAAAAGTTGAATTGTTTTAATTAATAATTATGTTTGAATAAAACAATTCACTTTTGATGAATTATATGTCATCATCTTAATCCTGAGATGAATAATAAACATGTATACGTGGCTTGTATCCTTTGATGTACGAAAGGGAGACATCCTAACATTATGTAAAGGTACGCTTACCGGTATGTTAGGGGTATGACTCATGTGTGCATAGATTTGTTATTGAAAAAATGGAGAATTTACCCTTGAGAGTGCATGAGTCTCGACCTTTACTCATTACTCTTGATAAATGCCCTTTTTTTAGTTTAATAGGAAAATATGATCACTCAGCCATTAGACTATTTTGTGTTATCTAATGGTTTACTATTTGTATTGATATAAATAGTGAATTTTCTGATGGAGTGGTACGGGAACATAAGATAAATATAATCATGAAAGTAAAACGAAACTTGATCTCAAGTCGATTATGGATATCCTATGGAGATGAAACACTAATAATAATGAGTCATGGACAAGAACTTTTCAAAACTTTTCGGTAAGTCTCATTATTTATTAGATCACTTGAGAGACTTTTTTGGGGCTATTGGTAAAGGTTCCTGAGAGAAAAAATTATTGATTCTTAAGATCTATTTTCTTTGGCTCTCTTATGGTTGGAAGAAGTTCAAGAATACCAAGGGGAAATTGAACAACGTGTGCCCACTCGTATTCCGATCGTAGGAACGAGAATAGCAAAGAAAACCCCTTAAAAAAAGAAAATATGCCAATTCTCTTTAAATAAGCTATAATAATAAATAAATGGGAGTCTTGTTGGTTGCCGAATCGAATTCGGATGCGGAAGCGTGGCGGTAGGCGGATCGGGTATAATAAAAATTTTCATAAAACTTTTGAGATACTCTATAGATTATATTAATTTATGCACGAATAAATTAATCACATTAATTTATATGTCAAGAACTCAATTAGGAAAAAATACCTGGAGGCCGACTCGAATGATAACTTGAGTTCTTTGACCACGAACAATCCTTGCTCCAATCTTTGTGTTTAGACAACCAAAGTCTTCCACGTCAATTTCTTGATTCCACGTAGACGTGTGTGTGGGCACATGTGAGACAAAACAGGTTCCAAAAACACTCGAGTTTCCACAAACACCAACGCATGCACGATGTGGAATTTTTGGGAGAAAAAATTTTCCTCTCTTTTTCCTTGAGAATTTTTGGCCACACTAACAATTAGGGCAGAAAAAAATATTTTCAAAAATTGTGTCCACAATTTTCTATCATTCTCATATTTAAAGAGTAGAAGTCAAACTTCTAGAGGAATCAAATCTCTCTTTCCTGTTTGAATTTTGAACAAAAAATTTCCCTCTTCCTTATCCATTGTGGCCAGCCACCCCTTAGGGTTTTTACCGTATGTGTGGCGCCAATTACAAATAGGGAAGGAAGAGAAATCATCCTTTATCCTGTAGTCCAATTTTAATTCAAATTCAAATTTGAATTTAAGTCAAACTTAAATTAATTTGAATTCTAAATTGAACAACTTATCAAATAAGTTTAAGAGGATAAATTTAAATTATGTTCATGATTCAAATTCAAATTTAAATAATAATTAATTCTCAATTAATTATTTTTTGAGTATTTAATTTTAGAATTCCTTAATTCTAAAATTTTCATTTTGCCCTATGTGTCTGGTAGAATTACAAGGACGACGCGGGGACTAATGGACCTATAATCCCGAGCTCCAATAAAATTAATAATTAATTAAACACTTTAATTAATTAATTAATTCTATTAATTTCAATAGTTACTCTACTATAAACTTAGAATTGAACTCTAAAAAATATAGACATTAATTACTTCTAAACTGTGAAGTGTCCATTTGATATAGTCATTGCATATAGATCAAACCTCCATAAATAATTCATAATTAGAGTTAGGTAGAATCCGTTAACCTCTCTAATTATATCTTCATCCTTAAGTACCATTGATTCTCTAATGGATAGTGATTCATAAAACACATTCATGAACCAGAGCGCTCTAACTAGTCCAAGTACCGAATCAACACTCAAGAGAATTATTTATCTACTTCTTTCTCAAGAAGGAATGGATTCCATCTCGTATAATAACATTCCCGGCTACCTATTTCATCATGTCTCCAAAATACAAGGAATAGGATTCAGAGTCTCAGAATCCGTACTGAGTAAATCAAAAGACACAAATCCATAAATAGGAGTTTGTTAAGAACTCAGGATTAAGATCATTCTATATATGACCATCGGTAGACTAAATTAGAATTTCTATGCTCAACGGAAATTATTAAAAATTCATATTGTGTCTGTGTCACTGTTCCACATAATCTCATTATGCGAAATACACTCATTCAATATCTCACCATATTAACAGTGCGGATAGCACCGTTCAATTTTAAGTGGGAATGACATGTATTAATAATGTTTTAATTAAAGATTCTGAACTTTAATTAAATTCATTATGAACAATGTTTTTTATTATTATCCTTAAACACTATCCTCTCGTATATAACACTTATATACTATGTTTTAAGGTTACATAAATAATCACGGAATTTTCATTTGATATTCATAAAATATTCATAAATGTATGCACATAAAATAATGAATAAACTCTTTTATTAATTAAATAATAAATATCCTATTACATCTTATACTTCTAGGATACTATTCCCAACAAGTCTCAACGGTGAGACCCCTTAAAAAATAACCGGTAGAACACCCTATTTTGACCGTTGGATTAAATTTTCAATGCTAAGATATGCGCAAGTCCGTATTAAAAATTTACAACATGTCGCACAGAACTGCTCCCTCTGCAAATCCGACTGTGGAAAATGTAATCCAACAGTTAAAACAAGGTGTTCCACTAGTGGGTTTTTTTAGGATGTCTCACTGTAGAGAAAGTCTAAGGGCCCGTTTGGAGTGTATACTTAAATCATGATTCTTAATTTAGACGTTTGAAATTTAAATTTTTTTAAGAGAAAAACACTGTAGGGAGTTTCTCCGATAGGACCAGAAAAATAAAACGACAAGTAATTCTATTTTTTCAGATATTTTTAACAGTCATTTCTGCATCATAAATTATCTCTTCTGTATATTTTTTTAATTTCATTTTAATTTTAATCAAATTTAATGATTAAAAAATTAATCCTGCTGAGCATATTGAAGACAAACTCATGAGACAAATAGACCCTAAATAATAATAGAAATCAACAAATAGCAAGGTGCGGGTCCCAGCGGAAAGAGCATTTGTCCACGCCCTCCGTCATCACACGCGCGACGGAGCGCGTGCTTCTCACTGAAATCGTAAACACCCCCGTCTGAGCAAAATTGGATGGACATCTCTGCTTCCGTTTTAGGGTTTTCCTGCATCGATTTGATTTTGACTGTAAAGCCTTTGACTTCAATCCATCTTCTTCCCCCAAAAGAAACCCTAATTCCGTACAACCCCCAATTCCCTCAGAACCCTCCGATTTTTCTGATTCACGTCTTCAATTAGGGTTTCCTTACTCCTTTGCTTCCAAAACCCTAGCTCCGCAAACCAGTGCTCTGAAATTAGGGCTTTTTGGGTTTTTATGCATGGCTTCGGGGCCAAATCCATTGGCCGGTGACGGCGCGAGGGAGAAGCACATGAACCGGAAGAACCAGAAGAAGCCGAGAGAACGAACCGCCATTGACGACCGAAGCTCGTCCAGCGAGAGCTTCCCTATATCCGGCCGCTCCGAGACGGCCAACGGCGGCGGACTCCATGGGTACACAAAACTCGACGGCCGCGTCAGAATCAGCTTGAATTCGTGCTCGAAGATCGATATCAGAGAGCTCAAGAGGAGACTCGTGAGCGAGCTCCACGAGGTCAGGTGTTTGGTGAAGAAACTCGAAGCTTCTAAGGACGTTTATGGCGGCGGCGGCGGCGGTAGTCTCTCGCAATTCTCGTCGAATTACGTGGAAAACGCCGCAATGAGGGTCAATTCAGAGGCCGGCTCGGTCGGACCGCCGCGGAGCGGACTGAAGTCAAAAGGAGGGAAGAGAGATGTTGAGATGAGATTAGGGCAAGGGAAAGATAAGTATTCGAGTCAATTGTTTAAGAGTTGTTACAATTTGCTTGACAAACTGATGAAACACAAGTTTGGTTGGGTTTTCAATTCTCCTGTTGATGTTAAAGCTCTTGGTCTTCATGATTACTTTACAATTATTAAGGATCCGATGGATTTAGGAACTGTTAAAACTAGACTTCATAAGATGTGGTATAAATCGGCTATGGAGTTTGCTGAAGATGTTAGGCTTACTTTTCGGAATGCGATGGTGTATAACCCTAAAGGACAGGATGTTCATTCAATGGCGGAGCAGTTGTTGAAGATTTTTGAAGAGAAATGGAGAGGTATAGAAGTGGAGTATAATCTCAAAAGAAGGCGCGAAATGGAGGACGAGGAGGAGGGTGGAGAAGAGGCGGATTTGGAATTGGCAAGACCCGCTTCGAGAAAAGCCCGGGATCCTGCTGTTCCGGCAATGAGAACACTAGACAGAGCAGAATCAATGACGAAGCCCAAGGATCCGAAGTTGGCAGCGGTGCCAGAGAGATCTGATCGGAGTAATCCGGTTTTGAAGAAACCGAGAGCGAAGGACCCAGATAAACGAGATATGACGTATGAGGAGAAGCAGAGGCTGAGCACAAGCCTTCAGAATTTGCCCTCGGAAAAGCTGGATAATGTGGTTCAGATCATTAAGAAGAGAAATCCAGGGCTTTTTCAACAAGAGGATGAGATCGAGGTCGATATCGCTAGTGTTGACCTGGAAACGCTTTGGGAATTGGATAGGTTTGTGACCAATTACAAAAAAAGTTTGAGCAAGAATAAGCGAAAAGCTGAACTTGCTCTCCAGTCCAGAGCAGCAGAGACTGAGAAGAAAGTAAGACTGTGAATCACCATGACTTGCTCAATGTTTCTGAGTTTGTTTCTTTTGCTATCTAGAATTGTGTTCTAATATATGATTGTCTCAATAATGTTGTAGAAAATGGCTTCTTCAGAGACACCTAAACCAAAAGGATCCAAAACAGGTAACAAAAATGACTCCCAAGGAACAATAGTACACTGTTGTTGTCAGATTTGATGGCACTAATTATTGCAGGCCCATTTTTGGTGTTCTTTGGGATTATTACTTGTGCAAAAACGTTTATAGTACTATGATTATTACCTTTTTCAGCCATTTTGAAATGATCATTTTGGATAAGAAAGTTTGGTTTAAAACTTAACTGAAAGTGGTTAACATGTGTTGCAGATTCTGACAATGATGGTTTGTCTGGGAGTGGATCAGACTGAAGACGAGACTTGAATGGGAAGCGTTGACATAGGAAGCATGTGTTAGTTGATTTGGTAATGATTAGATCGATGTCATTGGTAAAAATTTTAGTCAGTTGGTAAAAGCGTTGATTTTTATTTTCGGAGCCAGCTTTTTGTTCTTCAAATTGTGCATTAACATAAAACTCAATTAGCTGGTTTTGTAAAGAAATGTGTCTCGTATGGTATGTACATTTTTCCATGCTCATATGAAACCCCAACTACTCAATTTTGCAGATTTAGTCTTCAGATATATTAGTTCAACGGTGCACTGAATTTGATGAAAATATGTTAAAACTGCAATATATACTTAACATTCTTCTTTATTCATAAAATTGAATTTCACGATAACCATATATGTATCTAATCTAAAAACATCCGGTAGACAAGTGCCATTTTTTCGTACAAAAAGAAAAACAAAATATTAAAGCTCATGTTCAAGTGGATTCCACTGTTTTTTCAAGCTTCAATTTATTTACCATTAAGAGTGTTAAGAATTTTAAATTTTACCACTCATTCTGAGTTAATATCTTTTTACTCGTATAAGTATTTAACTAAAAAAGTTATTAATTAAGAATAAAGATAGAAATCTTCTCCTTAAAAAAACCAAAAAAAGAAAAAAAACAGTAGACATAGTAACGAAAAAGTAATTCGTTGGCCAAAAAAAAAAGATTTTTTTAAGAGGCTTCGACTATGGTCCAAAAGATTCTAATACTAGAAAGACCACCTCCAAAATCCAACCGCTAATGCAAAAGCAAACACTTGAGCAAACCAAGAGACAATCAAGATCTAAATACCAACTCCTCAAAAACCACGCAGTAAAATCCTATTTTATTGGGAGCATGCATTTTCAAGCAGCAAAAAAAATGCGTCTTATCCAGAAAGATTAGCATCCAAGTTCTCAAGTCCCTCCCAGAAACATAACACTGGGAATTATTAACGGAATTTGCAGTTTATGATGTATGGCCTACTCTAAGAAACAGCAAAAAAGCCGGTGCTGGTAGCAGCAATAATACAACAATTGCTTAAAACTGCAAAAATTTGGACGGTTTCATCTAGTTCGCATTGGCAAACTTTATACCCTTCTCAATCGAAGCTTTGAGCTCGGGCTTCAACTTCTCCAATCCTTCCTTTTCGTAATCTGAGAGAGAACCCAGCCCCAAAACCTCCTCTACACCATTCTTTCCGAGACGAACCTGTATACACCAAAAGTCTGCTGTGTTTAGTTGTATAATAAAACTGGCAAAGGTGAACAGTTTATAATCAACTGGCCTCGAAAGGAATGTAGCAACAAAGCCGTGCTTTGTACATGCAAGTGTAAATGTGTGTAACATGAAAGTATGCAAATGAGAAAATACATGAAAACCATCATATACTAGTTCGTCTACTAGTGTATATTCAAGCCATTATCTATTCAAGATTCATCATTAGCTTTAACACACGATGTACCTTTTCATAAAAATGGCTTAACTATTTTTCTTTGTTATACCCCTACAAAGTAGAAACAATGCAAAATAGGAGCAAACGGCAAGCTAATTGATGGCATTTGGAGAGCTGATGCACTATCAAGAAATATTAACATGGTATAAAACACAGAATAGCATGAATACTCAAAAGTACTGTAAAGTAACTTTTTTTTTTACGGCACAAATTGGAGAATGCTATTGAATTAATCAAACAGAACAAAATTTTTTACCTTAGAAGCAAAGAATGGAAGTTCAGTGACATTTGATTGCACAAACGAACATTCCACAACATCAGGAACACCATTAAGTCCCTTCAGACATGCATCGGCAAAAAGAGCTCCTGCATAGCTGCAAAGTTAAGACAACGTAACTTAGCCCAGTATATATCATACCAAATCAAAGATATGGTGAGTCCCATAGCAAAAGAGGCAATGAAAGAAAATATGCCGATTCTCTTTAAATAAGCTCCCAAGAGGAGAACGTATCCAATAACAAATTAGTGAGAACCAAATAACATTTGACAAATCTGCATCCTAAAAACTCAACCTGAAACGTAAAGGGAGCTACAAATTCAACACTTACGCCATGGACAGTGTTGCTGATCCCTTTCCAGCCTTAGCCTCCACAACTTCTGTTCCTCCATCTTGTGTTCTCTTTGTAAGAGCCGTGATGTCTTCAGCTGACAAATTAGCTTGCGGTGTGGCCTATAGGTAGTCAAACAAACTGTACAATATTAGACAAGTGCAACACCAATCTAAACAGTTGATCCAGGCAATCTACTGTCCATAGATAATAAAATTCTCACATAGAATTATAAGCTAGAAGAGAACGGACATACTTGAGAAAACAGTGGAAGGATAGTTATGCCAGCATGGCCACCAACAACAGGTACGTTAACCTCTGCAACCCATACACAAATCTTGAGTTTGTTGGAACAGGTTATTTTTAGCAAAAATATTAAATTATTAAGAAATGACACCTCCACGGAATTAGATACTTTTATTTGAATCACATCTAAACTAGTTATTATGATACTCCAACTATCCAAAAAGAACATCAATGTTAAGCCGTAGGCAAAAATAAAACAGTAAAGAACTAGTTGGAACTTGGACTATACCAGCAACCGGGGCCTTGGCTTTCCCAGCGTAGAAAGTCTTGGCCCGAACCACATCAAGAGTAGTAACACCGAACAACCTCTTCTCGTCATATGTCCCCGCTTTCTTGAAAACCTCGGAGGCAATTGGCACCGTTGAGTTGACAGGGTTGCTGATCATATTCACAAGAGCCTACACAGAGCGATTTTGTCAAAAACAAATTCTACAAAACAAAGCGAAAAAAGAAAAGAAAGTTCATGTGTTTAAACCCATGATTTTGAAGTTTTCCCCGCACAAAAAATTTGAATTTCAAATGCCAAAATCAAGAATCACGGTTTAAACGCATCAACCAAACGGGACCTGAAATGATTGGGATCAAACACCCACATGTGGGCAGTACTTGGCGATCGCAGTGCAGAGAGACTTGACGATGCCGGCATTGATGTTGAAGAGATCATCACGGGTCATGCCGGGCTTTCTAGGCACTCCAGCGGGAATGATCACCACATCGGCTCCCTCCAAAGCCTCCCGAATATTCTCCTCACCCGCATATCCTTTAACCTAACAATCACACAAACATAACCTAAAAATCAACTTGTTTTTCAATCAATCTAAAAATTAATTTGAAGCCAAAATATTGTATTCCGAAGAAGATCAAACTTCGTACATAACGTCATTAACACTAAAATTTCAAAATGTCATCTCAAGATCTAAGCCAAAACTCAAGACTTTTAGCTCAAACTCGACAGCAAAACCAAACAGATAAATAGAACCCGGAGATTTCAGAGCTGGATCAAACCAAAACCCTAACAAAACCAGAAAGAAAAGGGATAAAAGAAAAATCAGGCATGAAAACACATGTGCAAAAGAGAAATGCGACAAGCCCTAGGAAGGAGAGAGAGAGAGAGAGAGAGGAGACCTCAGATCTGGTGTTGATGTGGCTGACATCGGCGGCGACGCCGGGGGTGGCGGCGATATCGTAGAGGGAGAGATGGGAGACGAGGGGGTTGAGCTTCATCAGGAGGGCGAGGGGCTGTCCGATGCCTCCAGCGGCGCCGAGAACAGCAACTTTCCGTTCCGGCCCGGAGTGAACGGAGTAGCCACGACGCTGGATTTGTGCTCCGGCTGCCGATGAGCTTCTGGCTATGGCCGACTTGACAGATCTAAGCATGGAAGACCTCATTTTCGGAATTTTCGAAGAGAGAGAGAGAGAAGGTTTGGGTTTGGGTTTTGGTTTTGAGAGTCTCGAAGGGAGTAGTTTCGTCACTTGGCACCCGTCTCTACATTTATGCTTGTTCAGTTGTTTTTTTTTTTTTTTTTTGCATAAAAATAAAAATAAAATAATTATGTTTTATTTTCAGATATTTTTACTGATTTATTGTTTGGTTTAATTTTGAGTGAGTTTCTCTGTTTTATCAATAGTATTAGTTTTTAATTATTAAATTAGATAAATTTTAATACAAATTTAGATAAGGTCTCCAGTCAGGCACTTAAAAAGTGCATGACTGGAACGACAGTTATATATTTCTATATAAATTGTATATATTTATATGTAAAATGTGTATATTTACATGTAATTCGTGTATATTTAACATGAAATACAATAAATCAGCTAATATACATATTTTCATGTTATGTGTTCACTAATTACTATAAAAAATACATGTTTTAAGGATTAATATACATTATCGTTTCTTATAACTTAACATACACGACTTTACATGTGAATATATACGATTTATATATAAATATACACGATTTATGTAAAAATATACAGTTGTCGTTCTGATCAGGTACTTTTTAAGTGCCTGACTGGAGACAATTCTTACAAATTTAATGGTTGAAAAATAAAAAATTACTGATAATTTATTTGTAAATGATTTCTAGAGAAAGACTCTAATTTCGATTGTGTAAAAATTTCTAAGAAAAAGTTATCTCTCTGACATTTTGGTAGACTCTTTCTCAATTACATGAACATGTTTAAACTGTAATTTTTTTTTGTAGTTTTTTAATAGTTTCTTTTTCAAAAAAAATGGATCTGCTTAATTTTTATCTCATACATTATTTAGACAGATGTGATGAACAAAAAACATACTTTATGCAAAATATCCACTTCGCTAGTTAAAGGTGAAAGGTCTCAAAAAGAAATAAGTTGTTTTCGGCGGGTCTCTACTTCTAATAGCTACTAGAAACAATTAATCGTTTTCTAGGTCTTGTTCGTTTCGCTGATTCGAGTTTAGAATTCGAGTTTTACTACAGTAAAAAGCTCTCATAAACAGTTATATTTAATTTTTTTGCTACAGTAAAAAACTCTCATATAAAATCACATCTCAACTCGAATTCTAAACTCGAATCAGCGAAATAAATGAGGTAGCAGCATGATGCTTATTTTAATCTAGCATGGTATTGCCTGTTTTCCTTTGAATTGTGAATGGACATTTCTCATTACTCATTTTATTTGTATATATATATATATATATATATGTTTATATATCCGCAGTCCATAATTATTATCTATTTGTTTATATTTTGTTATAAGTACATATGTTATAGTATGTGTGTGTAAAAAACAGGAACCATTGGGTGCGTTTGGAATTGGTTCCAAAACGTTTTTATTTTTTGTACGAAAATGAAAATGAAAACGTTTTTAGTTTCATTTTTGAATTATTTCTAAAAATGCGTTTGGTAGTTTTATTTAGAGATTGATTTCAGTTTTAAAAAAAACTGAAACTGCGTTTGGTGGTTTAATTTTTGAAAACATGTAATAATATATTAAATAAATAATATTATTAAATA